TTAATAAAATTAACACTTAAAAAAATATTAATAAATTTAAAAAATATTAATAAAATTAGCATTTAAAAAATATTAATAAAATTAACACTTAAAAAACATTAATTAAATTAAAGAATATTAATAAAATTAACACTTAAAAAAATATTAATAAAATTAAAAAATATTAACACTGAACAATGCAATTAATGTGCATAATGAATGAAAAGTAGTATTTATCTGTTTTTTATTAATTATATTTTAAACGTAAAAGTTATATGGAATTCATATATAATAAACAGATCGAACCTCAGCTTATAAGAAGTAAGTTTTATATGCTTTTCCTTCTGTCCTGCTTGCGTCTTCTCATGGAGAGTGAACTTCCCACTGTTCACTTAAGTGGAGAGGAGACTGCCCGGTTCAAAGTTATAAAAATTTATTGAATCGGGTTTGACACAAGAAATTTTTTTTAATTTTAATTATATTTTATTTAAAAAACTAGTATTTTATATTATTTAATAATACTGTATAAATTAGAAAAAGATCGCTTGATGATGTAATATTTATAGAATTTGATCACAATCTCAATTTTATTTCTAATGATATTTTACCTGATATTGTTGCGTGCTTACGAAACCACTAAAACTATAGTCTTTATCGGATATATTTCATATGTGATAAAATTATAGATAGTTTAATGAAACAATATAAAATATTTTATATCAACACTATATAAATTAGAATGAGATCGTTTGATAATTTAATATTTGTAGAATTTGATCACAATCCGAATTTTATTTCTAAGGGTATTTTACCTGATATTGTTGCGTGCTTACGAAACCAATGAAACTGTAGTCTTTGTCAGATGTATTTCATACGTGATGGAATTGTAGATAGTTTAATGGAATAATATAAAATATTTTATATAAAGTATTATTTATTTTATAATATAATAACAATAGTTAAATCTACAATATTTAAATTAAAAACAATATATATATATATATATATATATTGTTTTTAATTTAAATATTTTTATAACCTTAATATATATATTATTTTATAACCTCAATTTGAAAAATATTTTTTTAACCATACAAATTAAATTACTTTTTACTCCATCTTAGTTTTAACTAAATATATATTTTTTCAAACCAACCTCAACTAAAAATACTTTTTATAAAATAATTTTTTTAAAATTGTAATTACAATAGCAACCGCAATACCAAAGACACTCTTATTCTTTCTTTATCATTAATTCATTATCATTGATAGTTAATGCCCTGGAACACAAAATAGAGATAATAGAAAAGAGAAGACTAGATAAAATAAAAGATGAAGATAAAATTGTATTTTATAATGATGTACAAGATATTTTTGTATAAAATTTGGTTCATGGTAGATGAGATAAACTATAATATAAAAAAATTATTTCACTTTTAATATATATTATTAGAAAACTTATATATTTAAATACATAATTATATTTTTTAATGTAATTTATATTGAGTGTTGAAATCAATAATTATATAATAATTCTAATTACAAAATCCGTACTAACATACTAGATT